CCAGGTTCAGAACTTGAGCTGTTGTCAGCCATGTGGGAATTTAGTGCACTTAACCACCATTCCGCCTGTCAGCTCCAGGACCATAGTTTTAATAACAAGGACTTAGGTGGTTGGGACAAGTCTCTTTCTTTCTCTCCTTCTAATATACCAGAAGGCATGAGTGCTTGCCAGAGATGGAGAAACAGAAATTGAGGAGCAATCATGCCCCAATTGGCACAATCATGTTGGACTCCCTTCTCCTCTCTCTCTCCATGCTATTGCAAATTTAGGCATAATATAAACACCCCCAGTATAGTTTTCAAGCCACGGGGTCAGTATTCAAACTTTAAAATTATCCATGTGGGATCTGGCTCCCATAACAGGTCATGAGGCTGGCCCAACGAGTCTGTTTTGATCAGTAGTTGCCCCTCTTTCAAGTTTACTGAATATCTGCTCAAAAGATTAAACTGATATTCTAATGCTTAATCACCATATTCAAATTTGGAAAAACATTGATAACTTCAAAAACAATCAATATTGTGTATAGCGCTTGCAGAAATACTGTGATCATTTATTCCTTTTATCCTTTTTTAAATTTGAGAACCTGCCAATATGTTACCAGAATGATTTCATAAGAATGCCTGTAAGCACAGGATAAGTGCTTGTAATTCTAACTTCAGGGGTTTGGAACATTAAAGATTTTAATAAAACAGGCAATGGGACTCCAAGGGAAATTTGACAATAATACCTCCAAAGCTTTAGTATTTAAGAGCTTTCTCTGGTCAAGGGTATGAATATTTCATGGAATCTCCAAAGAGAAACACAGAGAAGATTTTTCATTTCCTCTTGATCATTCTATCTGTAGGAGAGGCAGAATTCTACAGACAGACCTTAGATTTTTCATTCAACACACACATAGCCATGGAATTATAATGTGGAGCAGAATGTAACTCAAAGATTTGACGTTGTACAGTGGTCCTTGAGATATGAAAGCTTAAACCTAAAATGGTGTCCTGAAGGTAAGCAATAAATTAGAATGCTTAAAAGCTTGAGAAGTTGTTCTCACTCATCACTGTTTCACTTATGAACTTTTTATGAACTTTACCAAGTGATTTACTTCCTTTTTCCTTTTACTTTTCTTTCATTTTTTCCCCCCAAATGTTATCAGAATGTATGTAGGCTCACTGAGGGAAGAAAAAGGAGAGAGATTGGGGGAGAGGAGAAAGTACCCCCTATGAGGACCGGTCATGCTGTAATTCTTTCTCTTCTTTCTTTCTCTACTGTCAGAATTTTGGGGCATGCATGCACATGTGCCTGGAGTGTTTTTCAAGCCACTGGGTTTAGAACTCGAACTATGTAGTCAGCCATATTGGATCCAGCCACCCTAACCACCAGGCCATGGACTGGCTCTATTTTTATCTCTCTCAGAGGCTGAGAGTAATTATTGTCATTTCTAATCATGATGTTGTTGTAGAGAACTGTGAAAAAACTTGGTGAACTGTGACACACTATCCACTTAAAAGTTATTCACAAATACAAATCTTAAAAATATAGTTGAGACAGAACCTGAACTGACAAGATGATCAAGTTCTCAGAGCCCTTTCTACTGCTACCTTTCATAATAGCTGCAGCTATATGTTAATATTTATATTTTACACAGTAAAATGTAAGATAGCGTTCTAATCACAGAAACAATACCTCTCTACACAGAATAAATCAGCATGCCAAAAGGCAAGTAAATAGAGAGGGAGCTTATAAAGTCATTAATTTTAAAATCTTTACTTTAGTTCTGAATTGAACTAAATATACACAAGGTATTTTTTTCCCTCCTAGTAACAATTGTCTATACAACATGTATAATATTAACTCCAGGTAGATTAAAGATATAAAAATCAAACCATAATGCTCTATAAAAGAATATCTTTACAACTTCCAGAAAATTAGGGATTTAATAAAAAAATACAAAAAATAAAAACTGTAGAGAAAAGAGTAAAATGCATTAATCTGACTGTCAAAATGTGTGACTTCTGACCAATGTAAAGGAAAATAAAGAATTACACACAGAAAAGTTATGTTTTAAAATACATACAAGAGGCAAAGAATTAATCAATACCTAAAAGAAACAAAAGACTTTCTCCAATCTACAAAAGGAAGAATAATCCAATTTTTTTAAATGAGAAAAAAGTCATAATAGGTACTTCACATACCAGAAGACAGATCAGACAATAAAAGATACCCAACCCTATTAGTAATCATGTAAATAAAAATTGAAGCCACAATGAGAGATCATTTATAACATGCCACAGTAGAGAAAGTTAGTTACTATCATATGTTAGTGAGGATGCCAGTAAACCAGATCACTTATATGGTACATACAGGTACAAATGGCATAGCCAAGTTGAAAAACAACTTGGCATTATCTATGTACTCTTTTGTGCTTCTGGCTTTTCATTTTTCATAAATTAAGAAAAACAATAATATATTTATTTTGTCTTTCCCAATGAATTATAATTCGGAGTAATCAAATAATAATAACAATAAATAATAATCAAATAATAGTGAGGAAGAGTTATTCTCTATGGGAGAATTATAGCTGAAAGATGCACAGTGAATGATTGAATTAGATCACCATTATATAACCCTCAGTAAAAATATTTAGGTAGCCTCCACTAATGAATGCCAAAATCACTGGATGACACTTGATGGGAAATCTGATATTGGAGTAATTAGACTGATACTACTTAAATGCATTGATCAAGCTCAGGAGTTTTAAAATCAGGGCAATAGGAAGTGCAGAACATCACATACTAAAAATTCTTACTTAAAAAAAAGTATTGACACTATTTAATCAGGTCAGTTTATAAAAATGGAAGTATAGAGGTAATAACTGCATGAAAGTCATCGAATTCAGAATATGAGAAAGCATGAATGATCCTGTTCCTCTGATAATCCAATAGAAGATAAAAGGAAGGGGGCTGTTATAAAAGTTATACAAGAGATAGAATAACAAGACAATTTGATATGAATTTTGATTGGTCAAACAAACTGTAAAAAGATAAATTTGAGACAATCAATGAAATATATATAAGAACTAAGTAGATATTATAGGAAAGGACATTAGAGATTTACTTTATTAGGTATAATAATGTCACAAAGTTTTAATTTAAAATGTTACCAGATAAAGACCCATACTGAAGTGTCTGCACATGAAGTGAGATATCTTATATTTGATTTAACATAAACGATGCTGTTGAGGTAAGATAATCTAGCGATCTTATAAATTATTAGTTATCAAGGTGGTTGTTGATAATAAAGAGGTCTGGGATAACATCAGAATTTTGCCTGTGGTTTCAAAGGTGATGCCCTTTGCTGAGAGAGGGGATATAAAAGCAACAGCAGTCTTCAGGGATTAAAATGAATTTAATTTTGAATGTTAGTTTTAGGTGTCACAAAGGGCTCAGGTGAGTTTGGAGACCATAAATTATGAGTAGCAACTATCCACTCCTTTGTGAAATTTTTTAACATTTCCTTCAGC